TAAACACGTCCCACCCACAGATTCACGGTCTAGCAGGCTAACCACTAAGCACGTCCGACCTATAGATTCACGGTCTAGCAGGCTAACCACTAAGCACGTCCCACTCACAGATTCATGGTCTAGCAGGCTAGCCAGTAAACACGTCCCACCCACAGATTCAGGGTCTAGCAGGCTAACCACTAAGCACGTCCCACCCACAGATTCACGGTTTAGCAGGCTAGCCAGTAAACACGTCCCACCCACAGATTCACGGTCTAGCAGGCTAACCACTAAGCACGTCCCACCCACAGATTCACGGCCTAGCAGGCTAGCCAGTAAACACGTCCCACCCACAGATTCACGGTCTAGCAGGCTAACCACTAAGCACGTCCGACCTATAGATTCACGGTCTAGCAGGCTAACCACTAAGCACGTCCGACCTATAGATTCACGGTCTAGCAGGCTAACCACTAAGCACGTCCCACCCACAGATTCACGGTCTAGCAGGCTAGCCAGTAAACACGTCCCACCCACAGATTCAGGGTCTAGCAGTCTAACCACTAAGCACGTCCGACCTATAGATTCATAGCCTGCTAGACCGTGAATCTGTGGGTGGGACGTGCTTAGTGGTTAGCCTGCTAGACCAACCACTAAGCACGTCCCACCCACAGATTCACGGTCTAGCAGGCTAGCCAGTAAACACGTCCCACCCACAGATTCACGGTCTAGCAGGCTAGCCAGTAAACACGTCCCACCCACAGATTCAGGGTCTAGCAGGCTAGCCAGTAAACACGTCCCACTCACAGATTCAGGGTCTAGCAGGCTAGCCAGTAAACACGTCCCACTCACAGATTCAGGGTCTAGCAGACTAGCCAGTAAACACGTCCCACCAACAGATTCACGGTCTAGCAGACTAACCACTGAGTGAACTACCCTCAACCACTGCTGGTAATAAGTATGTTTATTTTTGATATCCAATCTGTAAAGTAGTATGATAATTCTATCATACTACCAATATCAATACAACACGTAAACTTTAAAAACAGATACTACAAAAAGTAGGTTTCATACTTCCAAATCACCAACATATATTTACGTAAATCTTAAATTCTTACTTTTTTGCAAGAAATAAAAAAAAATTTTTTCTAAGAATAAACCTTAAAACTCGAGATAAAAAAAAATAATACTTTTTCATCTATGCTTCATTCTATAATAGTGATATAAAGTAACACTACACAATGAAACAGGTCTCTAAGCCAAACAGTAACACTACACAATGAAACAGGTCTCTAAGCCAAATGGTAACAGTACACAATGAAACTGACCTCTCAGCCAAACAATAATACTGCACAATGAAACAGGTCACTAAGCCAAGTGGTAACAATACACACAATGAAACAGGTCTCTAAGCCAAATGGTAACAGTACCCAATGAAACAGGTCTCTCAGCCAAATGGTAACAGTACACAATGAAAGTGACCTCTCAGCCAGACAGTAATACTACACAATGAAACTGACCTCTCAGCCAAACAATAATACTGCACAATGAAACAGGTCACTAAGCCAAATGGTAACACTACACAATGAAACAGGTCTCTAAGCCAAACAGTAACAATACCCAATGAAACAGGTCTCTCAGCCAAACGGTAACACTACACAATGAAACTGACCTCTCAGCCAAATGGTAACACTACACAATGAAACTGACCTTTCCACTAAATGGTAACAGTACAGAATGAAACAGGTTTCTAAGCCAAATGGTAACAGTACACAATGAAACAGGTCTCTCAGCCAAACGGTAACACTACACAATGAAACAGGTCTCTCAGCCAAACGGTAACACTACACAATGAAACAGGTCTCTCGGCCAAACGGTGACACTACACAATGAAACAGGTCTCTCAGCCAAATGGTAACACTACACAATGAAACAGGTCTCTCAGCCAAACGGTAACACTACACAATGAAACTGACCTCTCAGCCAAATGGTAACACTACACAACGAAACAGGTCTCTCAGCCAAACGGTAACACTACACAATGAAACTGACCTCTCAGCCAAATGGTAACACTACACAATGAAACTGACTTCTCAGCCAAATGGTAACAGTACACAATGAAACTGACCTCTCAGCCAAATGGTAACACTACACAATGAAACTGACTTGCTGTGGACATGAAGCTCTGTAAGCGTTACGTCTAGGAAATGACTTGGTGTACAAGACTGTCAACCTTTTTCTTTTTGGGAAATCATCTCCATACAATTACTTTTATGTTCTGGTAAAGAAGATCAGACGAAATAAAACAGGTATACTGGTGTGTACGTGCACATTGATATCTGGACCAAATTTGTATTTCTTAAGCTCTCTGTTGATGGAAATGTGTGAAATAAAAAGTATCTTTAGAGTAAAAAAAATAGGAATTTTTACTTGAATTCTTTAAATTACAAAAACAAGATGCGTGCCAGTTCATAAGTTATAGTTAAATAATAATATCTGTTTGAAATCGAAAGAAGTCCTTTTTTTAATTTATTTAAAATGTGAGTAGTAAATAAATGTATTAGATGTTGAACTGAGTTGACATGTTTCAAGCTGTTGAGACCAAGTCACGATATAATATGTATGTATATATATTTTAAAGAATAAAAGTATCAAAATGTCGTATAAATATGTGTTATCATATGCCTTAACATTTTTTGGTTTAGAATACATTTATTCTTACACCTTGAAGTATTTATAAATCAGACTTTGCACAGCTAGAAATTTTAGGTTTTGTAGCCAGAAAGATTAAAAAATATGTGTTCCTTCGTTATCGATAGTTCTTAGTTGTCAAAAAGAGAGATTTGAATTGATGAAAATAACCAATTTGTAACACTCGAAACATCAACAGCTGTCCTATTTGTTTTATATATTGGAAATAAACAGCATTTACTATGGTACTAGCCTTATGTATAATATCCTGTAGGTAACTCTTCTTTTATGTTAAAAATACTTGCTCTGAAGCCTGCATTATATAGTGAAAATACTCAGTGTAGAGTTACTGTTTGGCTGAGAGACCTGTTTCATTGTGTAGTGTTACCATTTGGCTGAGAGACCTGTTTCATTGTGTACTGTTACCATTTGGCTGAGGACTCTTCTAGGAATGTCTGTGTGGACTGAAGTTTGATGTTCTTTATTTTAATTTGTAGGAGGTAGTGAGTTCTCCTGAACCTACTTGATGTGGGTGTTGACATCGTGAAAATCTACAGTTGGTAATTGAAATTATATCACGTTGAAATGACTGAATATGTGGGGGTCTTGGTGTAGAGTTATTTGGTGCCGTGTCTGTTTACTCATTTCCTACTTTTACAGATCCATTGATCTGGTGAACCACTTGGTGTTGTCTCTGTTAATAATGCTAATACAGTCCAAACAGTTTGAATTAGGCAAATATTGCCAGTATTAGACATGCTAGTACAACTTATGTTAAGAACCGTAAGCTATATTTTTTATACATACTATTATAATCAAGATAGTTTACATGGTACACTTGGTGTTAAGACATTTATACAAACATGAATGTACGGCTTACTTAAGGCATTTTTAAAGTGTTGATTAATCAGTTTAGTACAAACAAGATAATTTACTTTAGACACTTAATATTAGTTTCAATCATGAGTTTTCTTCCTGAATGTGAGCTCTGGATTTAGTTTTGTGGTTCACCAGATCAA